GCAGGGGCAGCCATTCCAGCAGCCCCAGCGCCAGTTTGCCGAGCCAGTAGCAGCTCCAGCCCAGATGACAGGATGACGAAGCTGGAAAACATTCTAGCTTCATTCATGACGAGCACTCAGGCGACTATCACGAGGTTGGACCAGAGTGTAGCCTCACTGGAGGCAGGTCAGAGGAACCAGGGTGCCATTTTGCAGGATCTGCAGACCCAGGTGGGCATCTTGGCCCGCCAAAGCACCACCAGGGCACAGGGGACTCTGCCTGCCACCACTATCCCGAATCCTCGGGATCCTCACCAGCTCCAGCAGCTTGATGCCATTTTTACCAGGAGCGGTAGGGCCATATCTGCTGATCCTGTTCCGGCCAGACAGGAGGAACCACTACCTGCTTCAGCACTTCCAGCAGACGATGCAGCAGTGCGGGTGGAGAAGGAAGCCCCTGCTCCCAAGCCACAGCCAGTGGTTAAGGAGCATGTGCCCCAGCTTCCCTTCCCCACTCGCCTACACAAGGACAAGCTGGAGACTGAGTTTGCCAAGTTCATGGCAATGTTGAAGCAGCTCAACATCAGCATACCGTTCGTGGAGGCACTGTCGAAGATGCCCAAGTATGCCAAGTTCATGAAAGATCTCTGCACCAACAAGAAGAAACTTGGGGATCTCTCGACAGTGCTGCTGAGCGAGGAGTGTTCTGCTATCCTGCAGAACAAGCTTCCCGAGAAGCGCAAGGATCCAGGGAGTTTTACTATCCCTCTTACTATTGGTAGCATGCATGTAGGCAAGTCCTTGGCAGACCTAGGCGCTAGCATTAACGTCATGCCATATAAGTTGTATAAAATGCTAGACCTAGGTGAACTTAGCCCTACTAGGATGAGCATTCAATTAGCTGATCATTCTATTGTGCATCCTAGGGGAATCATAGAGGATCTGCTTGTTGGTGTTGGTGCATTCACATATCCTGTTGATTTTGTTATTCTTGATATACATGAGGATGTGGATGTGCCTTTGATTCTAGGTAGGCCATTTCTTGCCACCGCCAAGGCACTTATTGATGTGCATGATGGTAAACTGATCTTGCGTGCTGGGAATGAACAGGCTATTTTTTTCTGTGACTGAATTTGATCACTGTGCTATGATTGCTGTCACGCCTGTGCATGCCATTTCTGATCAGGTACACGAGTCTATCGTGTACCCTTCTGCACCTCCTATTTTGCAGGACCCTCCTATCATTCCTTCGCCGCCACTCCATCCAGCCTCGCCTCCGAACAAAAAGCTCAAGGAGGAGTGGCGGCCGAAGCCGCAGGTTGCTAAGCCTGCACGGAAGAAGCGTGGAGACCACTATGAGCTGGTCCCACCTCCTGCACCACGACCACCCTGGCCGTCCGGGTACTCACTCGCCTGCATCTTGCCAGATGGGCAGGTCGAGCTAACTGATGATGGTGGTCGCATCCGTCGGGTGCATGGCCACAACCTGAAGCTGTACCTCAAGAGCGACGTGGATCCGCTCTTGGAGGCACCTGTTCCTGCACCGCCCTGAGTATCCACCATGGGCGTCCAGCTAAAAGACGGTAAAGAAGCGCTTGTGGGGAGGCAACCCCACCACGGTTTGATTTTCTTTCTTGTGTTTTGAGTCGGATTGTAACCCGGTTTGGGTTTGGTTTGTTTTCTTTTGGTTTGGATGATGTTTTATTGGGCTGACCATTGGACCTAACATACTGTGTTGAGCTCTTTGGTTTCCTCTCGCTGTGCGTGTCTTGACTGGTCCCCTCTCCAGTCCGCTTCACTCGACTGGCCCGCTTCCAGTCTCCTGCAGTCCATGCATATCGGTAACATCGTTCCCCTTATCCTTCCCTCTTCTCCATTGAGGGCAATGTCGATCTTAAGTGTGGTGGGGGGGGGGGTGTTTATCTTTTGACTGCATTAGATCTGTTTGTGTGCTTGGAGCCTAGTCTACTGTCCAAATTTTTAAATTTGAGGGCTCCAAGTACGTGTTTCCTTGCAATTGACTGCTCAGTATGCTTTGAATTGACAGTCTTTATAGTAATATGCAACCTAGGGAGGTAGTGTAGCACTATGGAGGATGTTGATGCATTTAAGAAATCTCATTTCTTCTTCATATTGTGTTGGTTGATTGAGTGAATTAGTGATCTTAGGACCCTTGAATTGTGTGATGTTGTGGATTTTCTACTTGTCATGGACTCTTGTGTCATGTTTTGAAAATAACAGGTGCTCGAAAATGTGCTTCCAAATAAACGTCTCCCGTGCGAATAGGGCGAAAGTGTGTAAGGGGAGACGTGAATTCGTTCCTAATTTCCACCTACTACCTCCAGCCCCCTTACATGTCTTTCCCCCGCACGAGGCTCGAGACATCCGCTCCTGGCATGGCTGGTAAGAGCAGGTTGGGACCCTTGAAAAAGAAAAGAAAAGAAAAATATCAGAAAACAAGCAAAACAGGAAAAAAGGGGGTTCCAACCATCTTTAAGCAGAAAATAGAGCACCTTGAAAAATGTGAGTCCATGGTCTTTTGTTTTTGAGAATCTCTTCATACACAATTCATTTGTCCTCTGTTCACTATTTGCCATGATGCCGACTCGATACTAGTGCTCTCGCCGAAGAAGCTATGAGATGACTTGTGCGTCGGTTGACCTCGTAAGTTGCTAAATGATCTAGGAAGTCCTCTACCTACGATCTGGGTTGTTTGTTGCTATAGAGGTCTGGAGAGTTGCATTGGTTTGAGTTAGGTTTGCTTGGGGACAAGCAAACGGTTAAGTGTGGGGGAGTTTGATAACGATGTAATTGCACATGTTTGCGCCCCTAGTTCTTATCCGTTTGAGGGGCATAGTCGTGTGTTTTGGCCTATTTTAGGCCGGGTTGTGCTATTTTTTCATATTTCAGGTCCCAGGCGTCAAAGGGAAGGCTAACCACGAGTTTCGGGGCATTCGGAAGTCATTTCGTCAAGCTGGAGCCAAAACACGGGCACACCTAAGGCATTACACGGCCGTGTTCCTGTGGCCGTGCTTTTTATGCCGAGAGCAAATTCGATTTGGCAAATTCAGCTGCAAACACGGGCACCAAAGCACGGCCGTGTTCCACCAAAGCACGGCCGTGTCATCCGCGAAGCACGGCCGTGTTTATCCCAACTGCTGGCCGTGTAATTAACACTGGCCGAGACACGGGCAGGCTCAGGCAAAGCACGGCCGTGCCCTCGACCGTGCTTTGGCCACTGATGCCTTTTTAAGCAGATTTTCAGCCAAAAAGAAGGCGATTCGAGTTTTAGAGAGAGAGATCAGTTCCTAGAGAGAGAAAGCGACGAACAAGAGTCTCCAAGTGCCCTAGATTGATCTTCAACACCATTGGAGGCCAGCTTGAGCTTGGAGAAGTGCCGATCAACGTACAGAAGCAGGAATCCATCCTTCACAGTATGAATTCCGCGTCTGATTCTGCTTTTGCTTTCTTCTCCATGGAGTAGTTCTTCCATTCATCTGGGTATGGAGAACCCTAGATTTGTATGTTAGGTTTGATTGTATGAACCCAAGTACTGATTCTATGATTGATTATATTCGATTGAGGTTTTAATGATTGAATGACTTGAATCCTGATCAAATTCCTGTTGTTTCTGCTTTAACCTAGAATGAGAATATCTGCCTAGTTTAATAGAGTATCCTTGATTGAAGGTAGGGAGTTGGTGACTTTAGTCGAGGAACCAACTCACTATTCTGTACCGGATTTACTCTGGTAGTGGAGGTTTCGTTCTTAGGGCCTCAATCTGTCTACTCCGGTGGAGGTTAGTCGCCCGCTAGAGATTCAGATTGAGAGGGTCTGAAGACCTTTAGTCGAGACTTCAGGCTGTTTAAGAACCTTCCGCAGTATAACCATCATAGAAACTGAACTTGGTAATTACAATCCGGCTTAACTGCAGTCTAGGGGGAACCATATCCGGGTGACCTCTTTAACCTGAATACAACCGTTTACCTGCTTTGTTAGTTTAGACTTGCATTCCAGTTTCATTGCTAGATAACACGAATTCACTGAGTAGTCATCAAATCTAGGACCCGGGTTGACATATAAACCTAACCCGCTATACTATGCTTTAGGAAGTGGTTTCACTTGGCCAATTCCTGGAGTGACAGTAGAGTCGAGTCATGAACCCATGTAATTGTGAACCGATGTGAGATTGGTTGATGATATATGGTTTAGTGAGTGTTTGATTACGGTTTTTGGGTTGAACCCCATGTAATTGTGAACCGATGTGAGATTGGTTGATGATATATGATTTAGTGAGTGTTTGATTGCGGTTATTGGGTTGAACCCCATGTAATTGTGAACCGATATGAGATTGAGGTTAGGTATATGGTTGAATGAGCGTTTGATTATCGGTTTTGGGTTCAACCCATGTAATTGTAAACCGATGTGAGATTGGTTGATGATATATGGTTTAGTGAGTGTTTGATTATGGTTTTTGGGTTGAATCCCATGTAATTGTGAACCGATGTGAGATTGAGGTTAGGTATATGGTTGAATGAGCGTTTGATTATTGGTTTTGGGTTGAACCCATTTAATTGTGACCCGATGTGAGATTGAGGTTAGGTATATGGTTGAATGAGTGTTTGATTATCGGTTTTGGGTTCAACCCCTGTAATTGTAAACCGATGTGAGATTGAGGTTAGGTATATGGTTGAATGAGCGTTAGGTTATCGGTTTTGGGTTGAATCCATGTAATTGTGAACCGATGTGAGATTGAGGTTAGGTATATGGTTGAATGAGTGTTTGATTATTGGTTTTGGGTTGAACCCATGTAATTGTGAACCGATGTGAGATTGGTTGATGATATATGGTTTAGTGAGTGTTTGATTACGGTTTTTGGGTTGAACCCCATGTTTTTGGGTTGCTTAACTCGGTCTTGCCTCGTGTTTGTTTCAATTGATTCGGTCGGTTGTGGGTGGTGAATATGTGGATTTCAATTGTCTCTAAACTTCATTTTGTTGCTTGTTTTCAGTTGATCAACTATGGAAGGGTTGATGGATGATATGAGCACAGGCAAGGACACGGGAATTGACTTGAATGTTGGTTTAGATTGGGGAATGGATTATGGAGATGATACCAGTGGTGTTAGAGATAGTGACGATATGGAGGACAATGTCGACACCAGCGATAGTGATTCTGAGGATGATAATAACACTAACTTTGGTGATGATGATAAAGAGAAAATCTCAGATGAGCATTTGCACAGCTTCGAAACACAGCCACACAGCTCAGATGCACCTCTACACAAAGATGCTGCAAATCCAGCCATGGCTCCACCGTACTCGAGTATGTATGACTGGACCTTGCTTGATAAAGTCGGGAATGGTAAGCCATATTCTAAATGGGAGTCGGATGATGTTGTGGGTTATGAGTTTGAAACCCTTGTGGAGGCTGCCAAGTTCTATTCAACTTATGGTTGTGCCATGGGATTCAGCGTACGAAAGAACACTCACACATATTCAAAATATGGAGTTAAAAATATGCAGCGATGGGTTTGCTCACGCGAGGGGGAGCGTCAACCAGTGCACAATGACAAGGAGAACAGAAAGCGTGAACCTAAGCCTGTAACAAGGCTCCATTGTCCGGCAGCTTTCAAAGTCAGTTTTGTTGAGGCAACTAACCGATTCAAGGTGAAGTAGTTTGTACCAACACATTTTCATCACTTAGCTGGAGCACATGAAGTGCAGTTTTTGAGTTCTCATCGCAAGGTAGATGACGCAAGTAAGGCTTAGATTCAATCACTTGGGGCTGCTGGTATTCGCACCAATCAAATAATGGATTATCTAGTGAATTGTGCGAGAAGCTTTCAGAACTTGGGTTTCACTAAGACCGATGTCTACAATTTTGTTAGTGCGGATCGGAGGTCGGAGATCTTGGATAGTGATAGTGAAGCTGCACTTGCCTACTTACAAGCACGGGCAACTACCGATCCTCGTTTTTATTGTAGATATACAGTAAGTGATGGTGGTGAACTAGGCAATATGTTATGGGCTGACTCTACTTCACAATTGGATTATAGTCTCTTTGGAGATGTTCTTGTTTTTGACTCGACGTACAAGACTAATGCATATAATCTTCCATTTCTTCTATTCATTGGTGTGAATAATCACAATGCAAGCACTGTTTTTGCATGTGCTTTACTTGCGGATGAAACGGCGGAGAACTACGTATGGATTCTAAATGCTTTTTTACATTGCATGGGTGGTAAAAAGCCAACCACAGTTATAACAGATGGTTGTTCTTCAATGAGGAAAGCTATCAAGTCGGTTCTCCCTGGATCCCGACATCGGTTAAGTTCTTGGCACTTGGGCAATAACGCAGAAGCGCGTGGCCATGCGGAAGGCTTCCGGGAGGATTTCAAACGATGCATGCTAAACTGCAGTTCTATTCCACAATTTGAAGCTACGTGGAAGGAAATTTTGTCCAAGTATGACTTGGAGCACAATGCGTGGATGAAGAAGATGTATAGGCGACGAGCTCTATGGGCCACAACTTACTTGAAAGGTATTTTCTTTGCTGGGATGACTACGTCACAACGTTGTGAGAGCATGAACTCTTATCTAGACAAATTCTTGCAAAGTAAGATGAAGTTGTTTGAGTTTGTCAAGCAGTTTGACATGGCACTTTTGTATAGGAGACAAACTGAGTTACATGACCAGTTTAAGACAATACATACTGATGTTGTTTTGATGACACATTTACATGAAATTGAAAGACATGCCTCTATAGTATATACAAGAAATGTGTTCAGGAGCGTTCGAGCAGAAATAGCGAGAGAAGTTCATTACTATATTACAGACAAGTGTGTGTTGACTAATAAAACAATTTACACATTGTCACGATTCAAATACCCTGACTCAAAGTGCACTGTGGTCTTTTACACGAGTGGACATGATGTGCATTGTTCTTGTGGCATTTTTGAGTTCTGCGGAATTCCATGTCGGCATATATTCTGTATATTGAAAGCAGAAAATCAAATACAAATTCCAAAGTCACTCATTTTGAAGCGTTGGACTAAAGATGCAAAAGAGTTCGATCCCTCGAGTATGGGAAGCTGTCCTACCCAGCAAAATATTAGCAGGTATTATAAATTTAAGGTGTTGATTTAGTTCTTTGTTTACTTCTATTGTGCTAGGAACCAACTACAAAATTGCTTGTTTATTTGGACAGGTTTGGATTCTTGGTTGGTCAATGTAGTAGAATGTGCCATTATGCTGTGAGTTCGGATGAAGCATTTCATACTGCCAAAGGGTTGATTGAAGACTTGACCTTGCGAGTGAAGACAATAAGTGAAGAAACAACCAACAAAACAAATAATGCTACTACGGATGCTGGAGTGAACTCCTCTCAGTTTATTAAGGACCCCCATCCAGTTCGAAGTAAAGGGAATGTGAAGCAACCTCAAGTGAAAACACGGTTGTGCAAGTATTGTAGGCGTCCTAAACATACAATCAGAAATTGTCCGCTGAAAAGAATGGCTGAAGCAGGTGCAGGTGATAGTCATTTCACGCAACAAGAATACAACTTCGAGTCCATAGGAGCAGGTGAAAGCAGCTTTCATGTGGAGACTCAAGAATATGTTCTACTTCCCAAACGATCCAAGCACAACCTGTAATGCTGGTGTTCGCCTTCAAACAACATTATGTTTCATCTTGTCATGTTTGTTTTGTGCAAGTTAGTATCTAGTGACATTGAATGGATCTATGTAATGCTTGTGTCTAGCTTCAAAGAACATTATGACTCATCTTTTCATAAGCTTGTAGTTTTCAAAAACAGTATAGAATTAGACATGGGAAAGAGGAAGTCAAAGGCAAAGGCACCACCTAAGAAGAGAATGGACAAGCTGGACACTGTGTTTAGTTGTCCCTTCTGCAATCATGGAACAAGTGTCGAGTGCCGCATGTAAGTATTCTTTCAGTTCTTGGGGTTTGGGAGGAATAATCTCAGTGGTATGATAATTCATCGCTTTGGTTGTCATATTAACTTGTCTTAATCGATATTGTTCAGTGATATGAAGAACATGATCGGTGAAGCTTCGTGTGGTATCTGTCAAGAGAGTTTCAGCACCACTATCACAGGTATTTGCCAATCTCCTGTATAATGCAGTGTCTGATTTTGGCTCAAATAAATACCTTTGTTTTTACTTCTCATAACCTTATGAATGAAGAGCTTACTATAACATCATCAAAAGGGTTCAATTTGTAACCTAAGTGAGCATTGACATGATTCTGACAGATCATGATGGTGTAGACGTGATTAAAATGCTCCAGGGATCATCTACCTTGATGTCACATTGAGTATTCCACCTCATCGATCTCTAAGGAAGGAAGCAAGGAGAACAAACTTTCCTAGCTCGATACAATCCTTGGACAAGGAATGCAGCAAAGAGATGGAGATCGAAATACACAGAGTGATTGAAATACAGAGAGCGAAATACATAGAGAGAAGTTTTGAGTGGGAGGGATGCAAAACCCCTGACCAAGGTTGCATCTAGCTAGGAAAGTTTGATCTGTCCGGTATCACCCCAGCTCCAAGGGGAGTTACAAAAGTGGAGATCGAAGAGGATGGAATACTCAAAGAGACGTCAAGGGAGAAGTCTGTAAGTCTATATCTTCCAGTATCTTTTCATAAGCTTGTAGTTTTCACAAACAGTATATTATGTTATTGTTCTGTTTATAGGTACTAATTATTATCATGGTATAGGCACATCATCGAAAGCATTATTAAAGGGTGTTGAAACCTGGAAAAAGGAAACAGTAATGAAGAAGGTAATCTCTCTCTGTATCAGTGTATCAATTCACAACTTAGTTCTTGGTGAAGAGTAGTTGCCATTGTGTAACAGGAGGCTGCTAGGCGGCTTGAGTCAACCAGTGAGTGTTGCTTATTTAGTCGTTCTTAATTTTTCTACTGGATCTTTGGATTATCTTGGTTTGGTGATAGCCTAGAATTTGACTGATTGTTGCGTTTGTGTAATTTGTATAAGCCTTGGTGGTGCTTAATGGTAGTGATTTGATCTTTGTGTTGTATATATGTGTTTTTTTTTCTGGACCTGCAGGATTTCTTAGGTGTGGAAAATATGAATGCAGTTGTAGATTCATGGGAGGGGGATGGGCATGGATGTTCGACAAAAGTTTGCTACACAAATTCTTGAGATGGGGTGAATTAATAAGGACATAAATTGTGTTATATATGTATGTTCAATTTCTTTTCTACAAATCAATTGCAATGTACTCCATAACTCTAATGATCAAATATTGATCTTCTCTTCGATTGTGGGTGGCTAGATGGATATATCTAGTTATTGTTGTTTTTTGTTCTTAGATGGAAACCTCACGGCTTGTAATTAAATTGTCATGGCCGAGAGAATAAGCCGTGATATGGAAACCACTCCCAATTTCTCACGCCCCATAACACAAACCACTCTCAATTTCTCACGCCCCATAACCCAAATCTCACGGACGGTAGATGAACCGTTAAATTTAAAAAAATGTCCCTGGGAGTTTCACGGTTTTGAGTTGGTAATATCCCGCCCGGGATAAGGAGTCGTGAGATGGAAATATCACGGCCGTGAGAGAGACCGTGAGAGAGACCTTGCATGTAAAAATGCACTTCTCACGGCTCATCTTTAAATATCACGGGCGTGAGATTAACCCGTGATATGGTCACAGCTAAAACTCAAAAACACGCCTCACATCTGAAAATCTCACGGCCGGGAGATGAACCGTTAGATTTTTTTTAAAAAGGGGGAGTTCCAGGGGTTTTCACGGGTTGGGTTCGACAGTATCACGGCCGTGAGATGAGCCGTGTTTGTGTAATTGAAATGCTGGACTTCTCACGGCTCATCTGTTAATCTCACGGGCGTGAGATTAACCCGTGAGATGGTCACAGCTGAAACCCAAAAACACGCCTCACAACTTCAAATCTCACGGCCGAGAGATGGACCGTTAGAATGTTTTTTAAAAAATTATAAGTTCCAGGCGGTTTCACGGGTTATATCACGCCCGGGACAAAAACCGTGAGATGGAACCCTCAAATTGGAAACACCCTATTTAAAACTTCCTCTTTTCTACTTGAACCCGACCCCCAACCCTCTGTTCTACTTCGACCCCGAACCCTCTCCATCGCACTTCGACCCCCCAAGCCTCGCCATCGCCCGGGACAAAAACCCTCTTCTCCCCCGACCCCCAACCCTCTACTCCCTCTGTTCTACTTCGACCCACCAAGCCTCGCCCTCACTCGCTCGCCATCGGCCATCGCCCTCGATTGGTCACACTCGCCCTCGAAGATTCTTCCGCCGCCGAAGATTCTTCCGCCGCCGACCACTTCCCCACGACTTCTCTGGTAACTGCTCCAAGGTTCAGCGGCGACGGCGACCATTTCCCCACGAGTCTCTGCCCTCTGTTCCACTTCAATCCCCACAGCGCCTCTCGTGAGTTCTTCTTAACCACAGCGGCAATCTTCTCTGGTTTCTTGCATTATTTAGGGTTTAGTTGCCCAAGGTTGGTCTGAATTAGGGTTTGGAATTCCTAATTGTGATTAGAATGCTCTTGGGATTAGAATGCTCCTGGTTGGTCTGAATTAGGGTTTTGAATTCCTAATTGTGATTAGAATGCTCCTGGGATTAGAATGCTCCTGGTTTGTTGCATTTTTTTAGGGTGTAGACGTCTCTTTGTGAATTGCATATGCTTATGCATAATTCTTTTCCCTCTCATTCACTAAAGACTTAATGTGCTTAGTTGGTTTTTGTAGGAATGGGGAGAGCTAAACAAAAAACCACGCAACCATCAGCCTCACCTGCTAAAGTGAAGGCTCCTTCTCGTCGACACCGCCAAACCCAAGAACGAGACACTCCCCCCAAACGACAACGCAAAAACAACCAAGGACGGGCACATCAACCATCTCCACCACCACAAACGGAGGCTCAACTTGGAGGAGGGGGACTTCACGGCTTCCTCCAATTACCCGACAAACATAGGAGGGCTTTAGAGCGCTTCCTTCCCCTCCCATTTGGGCAGCAAAGATGCATTGATTGGGATCTCCTAGAGCGCCTCGGAGCAGCGGACCCCGTTCGCACATGCCTCCGTCTCCCGGCATGGTGTGAGGTTCTCTCCATCAATGAGGTCATCTACCGAGAGCTTACCATTGAGTTCCTCAGCACTCTCTCCATCAAGTTTATGTGCGAGTTTCACCTCGACAAGCCCGAAGACAACATAACTTTTCGCCTTGGAGGACAGGCGAGACAGATGAGCATCACTGAGTTCACAGAGGCACTCCAGATATACCCACCAGGATTTCTCACTACAGGTCATGGTTTGATTTCAGAGAAAGTATATTCACCAAGAGCACCATTGGTCGATGCTATGTGGACAAGGGTAAAACAAAACCATGTGGAAAAGTCTGACACTGCCCACTATAAAGGGAATGATCTTCTTCCCCCATGGCGTATCATCCACAACATTATCGCTCATTCTTTGGCAGCTAGGGAGGGGAGCCCGAGGAGTGTGACCACGCGGGATTTGAACTTTTTCCTCTCTATGGTAAAAGATCCCCCAATTCATCTTCGTTTAGTCATACTGAAAACCCTACAGAAGATGACCTCCAACAAACAAATCAAGACCATCCATGGCGGTGCTTACATCACAAGGCTAGCTCGGCATTTTGGCATTGATCCGGTGGGTTCTCATTGCACCATTGCCCAGTCCCCTCAACCAATCTCCCAAAAAAACCTTGCGGATCTATATTTGTTGTCAAAGGTAAATGTTCCAACCAACACTTTCCTTTTCACAGTGAATGCTAAAACAGAACTAGTCGGGATTCAAACAATCTAGGATTGATTTTGTGCAAGTTTTGGATTGCCTACTAATCTAGTTCCTTTTGAACATTGAGCAAATGTAACTAATGCTTCTGATATTGATCATGTCTGTGTTTGGTGGTTAAGGAGAATGGTGTGGTAGGCATTGTTGGCCTCCCTCATCCTGCTCCACCTCTTGCAACAGATGAGGCAAACGCATCGGAGCATGTTGTTCAGCAAATGGTCGAGGAGTCTCCGCAACAACCTGCACAACATCACCAAACTACGACTCAAGCCGGACCATCCACCGACAGATACATTTCCCATTTTGAGGCATTGGGTCGGCAGAATGCCCAAATTCTCGAGCAAAATGCACTCATTCTCTCCCGCCTCGATCGAGAAAAGGAAGCTCGACGCTACATCATCAAATGCAACCATCACATTATGAGGTCCTTGAGGATTGACTACAAAAAATTCTCAACACCTTGGGAACTATCTCCTAGGCCAACCGAGGAAAGCAATGAAGAGGGAAGTGAAGAGGACGACGAGGGCAACGGCGATGAACAAAATAAGGAAACAAATCAAGAGGACAAAGGGACCAATGAGGAAGAGGCAGTGAAGAGGAAGACGAGGGCAATGGCGATGATCAAAACAAGGAAAGAAATCAAGAGGACAAAGGGACCAACGAGGAAAAGGGCAGTGAAGAGGAGGACGACGAGGGCAATGGCAATGAACAAAACAAGGAAAGAAATCAAGAGGACAAAGAGACCAATGAGGAAAAGGGCAGTGAAGAGGACGACGAGGGCAATGGCGATGATCAAAACAAGGAAAGAAATCAAGAGGACAAAGGGACCAATGAGGAAAAGGGCAGTGAAGAGGAGGACGACGATGGCAATGGCAATGAACAAAACAAGGAAAGAAATCAAGAGGACAAAGAGACCAATGAGGAAGAGGGCAGTGAAGAGGACGACGAGGACAATGGCAATGAACAAAACAAGGAAAGAAATCAAGAGGACAAAGGGACCAATGAGGAAGAGGGCAGTGACTCTAGCGAGGACAATGAAGATGAGCAAATCCAGCAAAACGAAGACGAGGACGAGAGCACTGACGAGGAAGATGGGTAGTGAAGATGAGCCAACAAAAGTCCTTAGTACTTAGCTATGTGTGTTTGCGTTTGTGCTTGTATGTTTTCCAATTAGAATATGATGATGCACTAGTGTGGGCTACATGCAGCTAAACTTAAGCATTAATTAGACAGATTTAATCGTGTTATGGATGATTGTTTTATTAGACAAATGTAATGCTTTGACTGCGTTTTACTTTTTGTTAACATGGTATCTCATCTGATATGATGTACAGTTACTAGAGAACATTGTGAATGGATCTATGTAATGCTCGTGTCAAGGTTTAGAGAACATTATGAATCATCTTTTTCATAAGTTTGAAGTTCTGGAAAAAAGTCCATTCTGTTTGAAACACCATTATAATAAGTACACGGGATAGTTCAACAGGTGAAGGTCTCCTACTGGAAATCTGACACCTTATACTGGTAATCTCACGACCGTAAGATACTCAAGTGAGATGTAAAAAGCAGTGCTTCATTCCTCAGGCAAATATCATGGCCGTGCGATGTCCCGTGAGATGCAAAGAGCAGTTCTCATTATCCCAAGAAATTTCACGGCTACTACTTGACATTGTCACGCCTGTCAAAATCTCACATTCTAGAGTTGTACCTTTACACTAAACTTAAAGTTGTACCTACACTTTCCTAAACCCGTCAAAATCTCACATTCTAGAGTTGTACTTTTACACTAAACTTAAAGTTGTACCTACACTTTCCTAAAAATCTTCTATGGTACAATTCACAATTGTACCTATACACTATGGTACAACTTAATGTTGTACCTACACTTTCTAACAAATCCCTTTATGGTACAACTAAAAATTGTACCTATACTAATGGTACAACCTTAAGTTGTACCTACACTTTCTAATAAATCCCTTTATGGTACAACCCAAACTTGTACCTATACTAATGGTACAACTTTAATTTGTACCTACACTTTCTAAAAATCCTTCTGTGGTACAACCCAAACTTGTACCTATACCATGGTACAACTTTAGGTTGTACCTACACTTTCTAATAAATCCCTTTATGGTACAACCCAAACTTGTACCTATACTAATGGTACAACTTTAATTTGTACCTACAGTTTCTAAAAATCATTCTATGGTACAACCCAAACTTGTACCTATACCATGGTACAACTTTAAGTTGTACCTACACTTTCTAATAAATCCCTTTATGGTACAACTCAAAATTGTACCTATACTAATGGTACAACTTTTAGTTGTACCTACACTTTCTCCAAATCCTTCTATGGTACAACCCAAACTTGTACCTATACCATGGTACAACTTTAAGTTGTACCTACACTTTCTAACAAATCCCTTTATGGTACAACTAAAAATTGTACCTATACTAATGGTACAACCTTAAGTTGTACCTACACTTTCTCAAAATTCTTTTATGGTACAACTAAAAATTGTACCTATACTAATGGTACAACCTTAAGTTGTACCTACACTTTCTCAAAATTCTTTTATGGTACGACCCAAACTTGTACCTATACCATGGTACAACTTTAAGTTGTACCTACACTTTCTAATAAATCCTTTTATGGTACAACTCAAAATTGTACCTATACTAATGGTACAACTTTAAATTGTACCTACACTTTCTAATAAATCTCTTTATGGTACAACAAAAAATTGTACCTATACTTTCTCAAAATCCTTCTATGGTACAACCCAAACTTGTACCTATACCATGGTACAACTTTAAGTTGTACCTACACTTTCTAACAAATTCCTTTATGGTACAACTAAAAATTATACCTATACTAATGGTACAAACTTAAGTTGTACCTACACTTTCTCAAAATTCTTTTATGGTACAACCCAAACTTGTACCTATACCATGGTATAACTTTAAGTTGTACCTACACTTTCTAACAAATTCTTTTATGCTACAACTAAAAATTGTACCTATACTAATTGTAAAAACTTAAGTTGTACCTACACTTTCTCAAAATTCTTTTATGGTACAACCCAAACTTGTACCTATACCATGGTACAACTTTAAGTTGTACCTACACTTTCTAACAAATCCCTTTATGGTACAACTCAAAATTGTACCTATACTAATGGTACAACTTTATGTTGTACCTACACTTTGTGAAACAAATTCTTCAATGGTACAGCTGAAACTTGTACCTATACTATATGGTACAACTCTAATTTGTACCTATACTTGTATACATTGATTCATTATTTACAAGATTGCCATTAATGATGTGGGACCAGTCATTTATTGGGTTTACCTCCTCAACAGGTCACCTTTTTTTTTGTTTTTTATAGCATGGGTGCTATAGAGCACACTAGAAGGGCTCATACTTTTGGGTTTTCCCTCAAATCATCGTTCCAATTTCCCGTGTGTTGTTTTCACATATTTTGTCTGAGTTTGTTTTACAGGTGACCAAATTAGAAAAAGCTAACCGAAGCAGGGAAACAAGTCATTCAAAATTGTGATAATGGTGGTCAAGGAACATAATGACGACTCCACACACTGGATCATTTTCGGATCAGCCGACTTCGCATTTTCAAAGAATGGGAGCGGTATCTTGGTCGGCGATTCCATTGCAGCTAATACACATTTGAACTGTTTGCAATACCACCACCAAAAAAAAAAAAAAAAAAACAGTTGCCAACTAATAAGAAGACATGTAGAACATATTTCACGACACATGCGGTTCAACTAAAATGAAACCTGTCAGCTCGCAAGAGAGCTTGTTACCTTATCCTTGCTGTACTTGTCATGAATTGTAGAGTTGGAGTGTTGGCGTTTTCTTTTTCGTCGTGGATACAGGTCGTGCATGATAAGTACACATTCTTTCAGTTCAGCCGGCTTGTATCCAGATTGTCGTTGTAAGCTATCATTCTGTTCAATTGACACAACACAACTATTTTGAGTTAGACACTTCTCTTCACTAGAAGAAAAAAAACATAAACAAAAATGTTGCGTGTTTTGATGAATTATCAATGACCCAGGGGTGAGCATTCGGCTCGATTATGAATCTCGAAAGAAATATCGCAGACGCAGCTATCAGAGAAGGAGAGAACCCGAAACTGAGACGACAATCCAACAAACTAAGCTCGGCTATGTAGGAAGCCATGAACCGAAGCTGCGAGTTAAGGGGTTCCTCTTGAGCAACGACCTCATTAATCTCACTTAGAAACGTATATATCAATTTGGTAAGCACCTCAACTTCCATATCGAGCACCTTCAAAACGCAAATCCCCGAATCATTTATTAGTCAACAAGACAACTCTGCATATCAATTTGCATGAGACAAGAATGGGTTGACCACTAACTAGTAGACAACGTTATGTACCTCCTGTCTCGTGAACGTAAAACCCGCGGTGTTGGCAACATCATCCACTTTAAGATGGTGAATTTCTTCGTACTTGCTGTTAGTACCAACTGTTCATCATACATATATAGATTGCAGAGGTAGAAAAATCTAAGCAATCAAAATTTAAAGGAACTAGTTCTTAATTAGTTCTTACAAGGCAATGAGCATAGAAGAAGCAGCGAGTAAACGGAGACGGCGCCGTGTGGTGGTACGAACACGATGATTCAGAGACAGGTATCTGTCGATGTACGCGACGGCGCGAAACAGAGTTTCAGGGCGAAGATGTTTCTTTTCCGCCAGCTTCACCAACGAGTCCACCAGCGCCCCTCTCGTTTCTGGAGTCAATTCGGATTGTCGTTTCTCCATGTTTAGTACGGCAGTGACAATGGCGTCTTTCTTTGGTTCTGCGTGCGAAAGCTAATTTTGTCCAAGCCAAAAGGGCCATCGAAATCGAACGGCTATTTGTAATGGCTAGGGCCTCCTGACCGAAACGGAAGTGGAATACTTGGAGTTTGGAACAAAGAGCAAGTAAAAGAAGAAAATAGAAGGAAAAAAAAGGCCAATACTACAGTGCCGCTAGAAAAAGTGCGGCACCGGTGCCGCCGCTTGCTGATTGGTCCACCTAGATACGTGATGTGGCACTGACCGACCTTATTAAACCCCTGTCGAACCGGATGGCCCATGAATAGTCGCCCAAAACGGCAGTCGGCAGCTGCCCACACTGACGGAAAAGAATCCCCGTCTTATGCATTTTGTCTGTTTGTTTTTTATTTTTTCATTTAATTCCTTCCACTTTAATTTAATTGTTACTTTATTTGGTTTTTGCCGGAAACAAAGAATTAGAAAAACGAACCCAAAAAACAATTGTTCTTCCTCGGTATCCGTCTCCGATGGATATAAGCACTTCCGACGACTTCTCTGTCTTCACCGGCCCTCTGTTTCGTCGAAATGGGCACCATCACAGTACCAGAAGACCAAATTCGAATAAGAAGAGAGTCTCCTTCCCTCTAAGTCGCCCCCTCGCTCTGCGCAGTACCCCTTGCTCTGCGTCGTCCTTGTCGGAATCGGCGGAACCAAGTTTCTGGAGGTGCAAAGCGACTTCCCCTATGAATCAGAAGGCTTCGAGGAATCAAGTAATGTGTATTTGGTGAAGCAGGTTGTTCGAATTGCTTTTTTTACTTCCCTTCTGCCTCTAAAGCATTTGGTAAATCAGGGATGCAGCAATGGTGGCTCCGTTTTGTGTTTTTCCTTTGTATTTCTAGGTTTATCGAGCAGCAAGGGTTCCACGCTCTGTCCCTGGTCCTGACCATGATACATGGTAATCAGAACTTGACATAAGAAAACTATTGAACTTGTCTAAGTATCAGCTAGCTGTAGGCAACACATGTATTACAATCTCTTTTAGTAAAATGTTTCGACCATAGTCCATATAATATGTTATCATTTTGGACGTTGTTGAAGCTCACTTTTTTGTGGATAAAGTGATGCAACTTTATTCATTTTAAAACATAGAAAATAAAAGGAAAACCGGTCTGCAGATCTGCAAAAATTGCAGCAAGAAGAAGAAAAGCAAACACAAAGACCTATCTAATCTTTGTTGTCATCAGGCCTTACGAACACTAAACAAACAAACTAAAACAAATGGAGATAACATAAAGTTGACCAAGCTCAAATCCTGTCATGTTTTGCAGTCTCCACATCATTCTAAGGCAGCATCACACAAGCCAAAGAAAGCCATCCAAAACATCAATTTCACTTATGAAGATGCTATCTTAAGCAAAACCACCAACACCACACCCTGACATGTATTTTAATGATTGTCCCAGCATCACCACACCAAGCTTTCTATAGTTCCTTCACCCTCATGATACAAAATCTGCAAAAAGTGTGACCTGCAAATCAAGCAACAAGCTCTCTACAATCTGCCCTCCATCCTCCATTAAGAAACAAAACACCTAAGCCACTCGATATCTTCCTCATACTCAGTGACAGTGAAGCCCAACAGATAATCAAAACAGGCTGCAGAATTACCATCCTCAGACTTCTTGAACTCCAAGGAATGACCTGCAAACATCCCCACTGTCATGCTCCTCATACTTAACCTGCCCAGGACCAACATACAAAACCAGTCTCCCTAGTTTACAGATTCAGACCCTTGAACGAGGGAAAAAGTTTTTGACTTTCAGGGGCCGAACTCTGTGCTGGGAGTAGTCTGCTTTTTAGTCTGCTCCATACTTGGGCAGTGAGTGATTACGTCACCAATTAAGCTTCGATACTGTTCTTTGTGTTAGTCTGCTCTGTTCTTTTGTTCTTCTTTCTAAAGCAAACAACTCAAGTATGTATTAAAGGTGAACCACAATGAATGTTGATATAATTCCTTATAGTTCTGGCATGTAATTCCTTAATCACCTGTATGAACTGTCTTGATTATTATGGTGACAAGTTACCCTTTGTAAGTTGAAAATAAGGCTGATAACTGAACTCGTCAACACGTAACAAAACAACCCTTTCAAACAACTATAAAAGTGTCGTTTTCACTTTGTACGTAGTTCTCCAAATACAGTTGTTATCTTATGGTCAAATGAGGCTTAGAAGTGTGGTTACTTCCTCTCAATTTTCACAATTGGTTTAATCGCAACTTTAATGAAGCTTTTTCATCGAGTAGATATATAATGCGGTTTAGAAGAAAGGAAAGTTGGATTACTGAAAGAAATGTGGATTCTAAAGTGGCAAACAAACTAAAGAAGACAAAGAGAATGAACAATCTCAATCTTTGAACTATGCCAAAGAATATTTCTTCGGTCCAGTTTTGGGAATCCACTTCAGCCCTTGGCCTCCTCTTTTCATGCCCTTGCACCATCAACACGGCAATGTATCAAGCAATTTGCAGAAGCCTCTCCCACCCCATGCATTAGTTATTTGTTGTCTATACAAAATATGAACCAGAAAGGACAATAATTGTGGCAGTATTAGTAGCTTTGTCAGAATCCTGGACCTCTCCGTTGGCAACCTCCTGGAATCAGCTAATATAGTAGGTTTATGCGGGAATCACTTTTCTTCAACTGCAAATATATGCGTAGATAACTTGTTCATTTATTTTAAGGGTGTAATGGACTACATCAAAATCTATCAATCATCATAACAATCACATTGGAACTAGTTAGTCCTGATAGTTTAAATTGTCGACAGAAGCATGAAACTGAATTTCAAGTAATTAGGACTTGTGAATTTCCGCAGAGACATGAATAAAGTGTCAATTGCCTAATCATGACTACATAATCTCAAGAAGTTGGAGCGACTGGACCTGGCTTATACTTCTGAATATCCTAGTGACTATTGGAAAGATCTAATCCCTAAAACGATTGGTAATGAAAGGGTGTGTCCTAGGTGGGAGCACAGAAGGGAAGGGAAATTGTTTCCGAATTGGCGCTCTCAATTGCACTTCACTGAAGTTATGCCCAACTCACCATTCAGAAGTCTATTATCTATCAAAGATATGCTGCTTTCAAGCAATCATTTGCAGAGAGGGAACTTATTCCTCCCATGGTGAAAAAATTAGATTCCAGCCATGTGCAGATATTCAAACACTATCCTGAAAATACTAGTATTCAAATACATAATTTGAGTGTACTGGAATGAAAAGATTAGTCATGTATATATTTGTTTAGTCTTGGCTTGCAGGAGTACCTTACCACATAGTTTCCTACAGGTTTTGCAGACACGATTCTAGCATGACCCCGCCTGAAATCACCTGTTGAAATGAAAAACAAAACTACTGAGATGCTATGGCAATCCTTCATTACCTTCTCTATTTCAGACTAAACCTGAACTAGTTAGCTAGTACTTAACAAGTTCATGCAATCTTATTACGAAAAGCTTCCAAAGCAGGCTGAGATGCTATGGCAATCATTCAGTACCTTCGGTGACAAACATCCCTAAACTAACGATAGAATGTAAAACGAATTTGAGAACAAATGCTTTATTAAACATATTAAATGAAACATTCTTGTGCTTATAATTGAAGAACAAAGGCAATCAACCTTTAAATTAGAATTTGAGAAACAGAGCCCACTAGCTGTAATTCACCATGCTGTTCGCGTTTGTCTATTTGAACCAATTGGGGAAAGCAACAAACGCAATGACAGAGCAACAGTCTCATTCTCAAGATTAATTTTTGCTCCACTATGCCCCAGAACGAAGCAAAGGAAAACCGTAAACATGAATCTATCTAGAGATGGTGAATTCGTCACAGCCTAGCGCGATAACAAAGGAGGGCTTGGGGAGGATCGATGATGTCTACCAACCTCACTCGTTATGGCGATGATCGCCGATGAGATGTTTCGTATTCCGGTTGCAGTTGGCTTCAGAATTGACCCATTAGGAGTTACAGCAGTCAGCAGGCTTTGAATTCTGAGTTTTATTTCGAAGTGTGAATGGTGTAACAAACAGACAAAAATTCATAAGACGGCGTTGCTTTTCCGTCTGTGTGAGCATTTACCGGTTTGGGTCGCTACTCATGGGCTACCGGGTCTGACAGGGGTTTAATAAGCGTGTGAGTGGCATGTCAGAGTCTAGGTGGACCAATCAGCAAGAGCGGCACCGGTGCCGCACTTTTTCTAGCGGCACTATAGTATTGGCCGGAAAAAAAAAAAGGAAATGGGCCGATCAGCCTCTCAGTCCACTGCTATTGAGCTAGTTAGCTCATACTGGCCCAGGTCACCCAAATATTTTATAATCACACTCGGCCCACTACAAACAAAGCCCTAGCTGATGCCTGATAGGGTTGGGAGTTGGGACCGAGAGACAGGAGCACAGATAAGGAATCAGGCGAAATATCATATAATTAGCTACCATTGGGAAAATAGATTAAACCGTTTGAAAATTTATGGATCAAATCGGATCGTAGAATGTTAAAAAAGGTCTGGTCTGGTCATTGTTTATATTATATGATGTTTTGATTTCTTGATCTGGTCTAGATTGTGGTTTAGTGGACCAAACCATGAACTCAACCAACTTTTTTATATGTGTGAGCAACTCACTCAACCACTCTTCGAACTCCCCCAACGAGACCTAAATCTCAACCCCAATTTTGAGAATCCTTTTCCTCCGTTATTCGCAACCACATTTCACCAGAGAGTAGAAATGATCGTATCTCTACATGACATTATGTTAACATTTATGACATTATGGTTTAAATTGAGATGCTTTGACTTTGTATCTTTGTTATTTACTAAGATTTAGAGTATCAAAATTAGTCATGCATATTGGAATTTAAGTTTTCCGATTATTGGTTAATTTTTCATGTGGTTGTGTAAAGAAACTATTCATTTTTTGTTCAATATGGTCTATCTGGACCAGACCGTACC